CAAGTAGGCACTCAGTATTACTCTCTGTGTGCGTCATTAACACTTAGATGCAAGTAGACACTCAGTATTACTCTCCATGTGCGTCATTAACACGTAGATGCAAGTAGACACTCAGTATTACTCGCTGTGTGTTATTAGTACATACATGCAAGAAGGAACTCAGTGTTACTTTTTGTGTGTGTTATTAACACTTAGATGCGAGTAGGCATTCAGTATTACTGTGTGTATGTGTTTTTAACACGTAGATGCGAGTAGGCATTCAGTATTACTGTGTGTGTGTGTTATTAACACGTAGATGCGAGTAGGCATTCAGTATTACTCTGTGTGTGTGTTATTAACACATAGATGAGAGTAGGCATTCAGTATTACTGTGTGTGTGTGTTATTAACACATAGATGACAGTAGGCATTCAGTATTACTCTCTGTGTGCGTTATTAACACTGAAATAGCTATAAACATATAGTAACATTCATTTTTAAAGAGCTGTCATATCATGTATTAATATAGCTCGACCTTTCTCAGCAATAGGTTTTTTTTAACATCGTCATGTGGGTCTGCTGCAGCAAAAACATTCTGCGCCCTCAAGGGTTGGGGAGTTTGCAATATTCATTATCTACCACCCTCCCCCCGTGTAATCTTATTGCTGGTTAAATTATTGTATGTTCTTGTAAATTAAAGTTTTCTCTTTATAAAGTTAAGATTTGGTATTCTAAAAACTTTTTCACAAAAATACTTGCCAAAAAGTGGGGGGTCATCTTATAATCAGGGTGATCATATATGCGGGCCAACACAGTACTCTCTGTGTGAGTCTGTTGGATCACTTATACATGTATAAAAAGATGACTTGTTAGTGTGTTAGCATGTTAGCTTGTTAGCATGTTAGTGTGTGACTATCACAAACTTGCTGATGTGCTCACAGGTTACAGAAGTGTCCCTCTGAAGAACTGCTACAGTGAGGAGCTGGAGCTGGCCTCCCTGTTGGTACACATCGAGATCGTCAATGCCAAGGTCAGCTACTCTTAACCTATGCTTAATCCAGTCTGCCCTTAGCCCCTCCCACATGGGCCGCTCTGATTGGTCTGTTGTGTCCACAGGACGATGAGAACCTGTATTTGTCGATCCAGCGGTTACGGGAGCGCACCAACGAACTGTCCAATCAGGTGTCTATCCTGGAGAGGGCAGGGTCATCTGACCACAGCTACCAGCAGAGCCTGGATGAACTACGTTCTGTACAAGACCAACTGACTGAACTGATGGAGGCACGCAACCACAGGTGTGAGCCATACACAATCATGCTTATACACACAGTCTACACTTGCCTCTCCCTGACTCTCTCTTCCCACAGGCTGACAGAGAATAAGAAAAGAGAGAAGATGAGGCAGCAGATGGGGATGAAACGTAGTTAAATCCTCCGGCCATCAGAGGGCAGCAGAAAAATATGGGTGGAAACTAGAGGGCAGGAAGTTTGACCATGCACATGGTGGTGATGTCGCCCTCCATACCCCAGAGCTGACTTTGCCGTCTCGTAACGAAACACGAGAACTAACTGGAATTACAGTCTTCGGTTGCTAGGTAAAATATTGACATGCTACAGGAACATACTGGAAAAAAATACAGGACAATGTATGTCAAACAACACAAGACCACATGGACCCACAGTCTTGAACTCTTCTTGGACATAATATGGTAACAAAAAAAAAGATAGCATTTTTTTAAAAACCAGTGACGGTTGAAGAAGCAGGCAGAGAATATGGGTCGCTTACGATGCCCTGTGAGAAACTGGAATGAAAGCAAACGGTGAGAGAAGAGCGTAGGGATCTAAGGAAAGTATGAATAGGTTTTGTGCCTTCAAACTATACAAATACACGTCCACACGTCTGTGAGTTCTCAGTCTACTGTGCAGGGCCTGCTACTCTGAGGAACTTCTCCACAACTCTGCACATTTAAATCTGCAGGCCGCTCTACAAACCCGAGGGAATGATGGGTAAAACCCTGTCCCTTTTTTAGAAACAGGTAGTAAGTGGTACGTTATACCTATGTAGCTGTTTGGTTAGTATGATTAGGATTAGATCACAGAGTGGGATTAACACACACATATGCCGGCAACAGGAGCTCCCTATCTCTGTCCGAGAGCGGGAGGAAGGTTACTCGATAAACTATTAATTTTTTTGAAGGGCGTAATAATTGTAATGCAATAAATAACATTAGCAAAGGTATTTCATTTGTTTTGAAGAGTAGACCCCTGTGAAGGCCGTGGTCCGACATTTCGTCTCAGGCGAGGGTGGAAGCGCGTTTCAGGATTCAGCATTTATTCGAGAACCGTGACTCGTTTTCACGCTTGCCCTCACTTTGGCACAATATGCACGTGCACGCCCACTGTCAACATTGGCACTTTTTTCAAAACGTCCTCTTGTCTGTAATGTTATGTTCCCTCGCTGCTGTTACGTTCTACCTTTGCCATGTCCCCATGTTCTCGACGCAGCATTTTTCATTAGCACAAACACACGTTTCCCCACACCACCGGGGTAGCCGGAGCCCCTGGGTGGTTATGGGTTCGAATCCCGGCTTGGGAAATCCTGTGGCTTATGGTTCGCTTTTCGATTGGAGGATGCGTAATGGGGCACAAGGGGCAGAACAAGTGTCATGTGATCCAGGTAGTCTCAAAGCCCAGATCTGAGATCACTTTAGTACTGGACCAATATGCAGAATATCACCGGCCATGCACATGTGCCGGTGGCTCTGGAGGAAGGAGCCACAGCCAGGTCATGCCAGTCTGATTAGTGGAACACAGAGACTTTGCTTAGCAAGAGTGAACAGCAGAGCCCAGAGTCTGTGATCCCATGGCGTCTGTTCACCTGCCTCCCCAATCTGGAGCAGCAGAACCTACATCGGACTGCCCATGTCAGGGAAACACCCCTTATATCGTTATGGCAACAGATGGCGCACTGGTTAAGGGACCCAGTTCTAGCTTCAAGTCTTCAGAAGGGTCCTGGTGTTTTACCTTTGAGAGAGGCGTTTAACCTCGATTTCTTACCAGAAGGTAAGCAATGCCAGCTGCTTTTGATGGCATCTGCTGAGCAACTATATACTAATAATAATAATATAGTGATGATTAGCAAAGTGAGTCCTCATGAAGTCATCATCTCAGGAGCCCTGGGAGGATCAAACTGGATTAGCAGCTCAGAGCCCACCAGCTTCCTGAGGGGGTCGGGGGCAATACAGGCTCCCAAATGTAGCCCCTACCCACCTGCTGGAGTGGGCGGGGTGGCTGTACCTTGGCCAGAGTTTGGAGCTTGGTGTTTTTTTTTAATGGTCTCAGTTCATCCTCTCTGTGCCATTTATTGGGTTAAGTAAATAAAGTTTTATATATATATATATATATATATATATACACACACTTAGAAGGGCTATGACAAAAAACGAAAAGAACACTTTACCTCATTATGCCTGGTCATTCTGAATGTGTTGGAATGTTCTCTTACACACATGAGGATGTGAAGATGCAGTAGTTAAGCGTGTGATACATGAACAAAGCGACTTGTATAACATTCCCTTTAAATGCCCCCAACTCCATGTGGCACCAGGTTGGACTGTCTATGCAAAGCTGATTATCTCCCACCTGGCCCAAAATAATTCTGCCTGTCTTTTGTCTGCATTTATCTGCATTTACCTGTATTTAACTGAATATCTATTTCAAGCTGTCCAGTATAATGCCACCCTAAAAACCTGTACAAGTGTCCATTGAAATAAAAAATACATTTTAGGTATCTTAAGGTTCGGCCATATTGCTGTGTTCTGCAACATTTTTTATGCGTATAGTCACAGTGCAGGAAATTGCTCCAGGTTCCCCGGAGTACAACATTCACATTTCTGATGGCAACTGTTAGTGTTAAACCTTTTATAAACCACGGCAAAAATGAAACTGCTTCGGCTGAAAGCTGGTGTATTATCATAATGGTGACATATTTGTGAACGTGCTGATTGATTGAGTTACTGTTTCAGGTGAATTTTAATGTAGAATATTAGTTCCACGAATAGCCACAAGAGGGAAGTGTGCATCCAAGTTTGGAGTTTTACTGTTACGAATTCTCAAGCTAGTCTACCCCCCACCCCCAGAAGAAAGTCAGATGAAAACCTGCTCCTGTTTCTGTTTCCGTGTTTCGTGGAAATAAACCTCAGCTCAATCATTTATTTGAACAAAATAGCCAGTTTATGACAGTAGCAGTACAAACAAAACCGGTAAGGAAAAAACTGACAATTTCCCTTAACGTTAAGCATTTATTAACTCGGCCAGCTGCCGATACTGGAGTCTAGAGTTGAATAGAATTCTGACTGTATTCCGGGAAAAGACCCGGAGTGTCCCAGAGAGGGGCGGGTCTGGACAGAACGCACATTATTAAGTAAAAAGGGATGACGTCATGATCTTCCACCCACCTCTGCGAGTCACACAGGATGGAAGAAGTCACATAAAACAAATAAATTATAATTAAAATCCGCAGTTGTTATCTCTATCTTCACCCAATTTTATATATTTATATATAATAAGAGCAATTAGAAGAGTAAACTTGAGTTTAAATAAATTGCCTTTTATTCGTTCATTGAAATAGGCAAAGGAATTCAATTTATGCAGCTAAATCAGTATCACTGGGTCACCCCCGCACGCTCCAACCACGTCTGTGCGTTTCTTAGCTAAAAACCTTTTCTTTACTCTAAACAGTCTTCCGTGTTGCGGCGGCCACCCCCGCATGGTGCGTAATCCTGGCCCCTTTGTTCAGGCGGCGATCGCCGGTCCGGCCCGCGGCTCCGGATCCACTGTCCCGCCCCTGGATGCCTCTGCGTTGCCAAGGGCAACGCCAACTCTACTGTCCCAGCCTGTAACGCCGCCCCCAGTTGGAGGAAACAACCCGACAGTCATTGCAATTCGCCTTCTGATTGGTTCTTCGGTACCTACGAGTCCCTCCTCCCACGCGAAGTCCCCAGTGGGTAACAACCAGCTGCGCTACACTGTGGCAAGTAGAGAAGAAGTAACAAGTGGAGCGATCAAAATTAATACCGAGAACTTTATTGTAACAGTATTCAGTCCATTTACGTTATAGCATCAACGTTTCTTTTTGCATTTTACCAGGCAGCCGGTTTCTCGATTGCGAGGAGGACGGGTCAGAAGTTCGCTTTGTATCCCAGCTCATACTGGCTCTTTCTCGACATCTTATATATATATATATATATATATATAAGAACACCAGCATCTCTGCGATTAGACCGTGCGCTTCGTCTCCGGCGTATAAAACAAGGTATGCTTGAACTCCCACACTGTTTTCCGTCATAATGGTGTAAATGAATGGGTGCAGGAGGCTCTTATTAATCCGTTCGTCATGCACGCTGTGGGTCTCATTTTTCTAACTTATTTTGCATCTCGAACAGGCGATCTAACAGTCGCAAGCAGACAGAAGGGCAGTCGTCGATGGACCTTTTTTGAGCTATCGCCCCACTCCTTCCCTGCTCGATTCGCGGAAGAGAGATGGAGATGAGTGACGCCTGGCCGAAGGACGTGCTCAGCAGTCCCGGAGGGAGCACGCGAAAGGTACGGGATTGTCACCGCGGATCCTGCATTTAGTTTTCACTTAATCAACTTTACATGCCCTACATGTTACCACTCTGCACCTGCATATTTTTGCTGAAACCATTCCCGTGAAATAATCTCTGCAAGAGTCTTTCTGCAAGCTTAATATGGTGCTGGCATGGGATCAGCGAGCCAGCGATACCGGAGCGATAATTACGGTTAATCACCCTCTTTCCCCGGATCTGGACCTGTCACAGCTGATGACTGTCACCAGGCTCCCAGAGCCGGTGTTCTGTCGAAAAATACTACCTATCGAGAGGTGCTATCGAGCCTTTCTGCGCATGTGCAGTTCCACCGTTTTGGGATTAGGGTTAGGTTTTAGGGGTTAGGGTTAAGGTAAGGATTTTAGGGGTTTTGGGGGGTTAGGGTAAGAGTTAGGGTTAGGGCTATCGATTAGCACTACGGTGGCATTTTTCGACAAGGCAGCATATATCGACAGAACACCGGTTCGCTTTTTAAGCCTCAACTGTGTTTCAGAAAATGCCAGTTTGTTTATTGACGCGCTATTAATTGCTGTTAAAGCATTTTTTTCTGAAAGAACTAACATGGTATGCAATTTAAAACCGTCTGAATAATGTCTGCTTTGGGTGTAAATCCAGAAATTGCACCTAATAACTGAGGAGGCGTGCGGAGGGGCATTCGCCCCTGAGCCCAACACAACAGGGGTCTACTGCAGATTCCCACCCCCCCTCGCCTCTCATTGTTTTTTTAAAAATAAACGCCGTTTTACACTATATTTCCACATGATGAAGGTGATTATGGGCTTGGACACTGGCTTATTGTTTTAATTAGGTTTGTGGTGAAATAAGATGAATATATGTCATAGCCCGTGGGGGCTGGTATTCTCTCCTGTAGAAGAGTGATGCTCTGCGCACATAGGACCGCGTAGCTGGTGGGGGAGTTGTGTTACGTTACGTTGCCCTTGGTAGGGGGTATACTGAATAAGAGCTGCAAATACTGGACGCCATCTGGACACTGCTGCCTCCCAGTGGTTAATTAGGAAACTAGCATGCATCCAGGGCTGTAATCTCCCTGGCCAGAGGGGGGGATTAGGCTCAAGGGATCATGACACAAACAGAGTGGCCGGGGTACGGTCGCTGTGCAGGACTGGGGTTGGCAATGGGAGATGTTCTGACCACTCATGTGGCATCTGGGCCCTTAGTTGCCGTGCCAAGGTGGGCAAGCCATTTCATTACATTGGTGCCCAGGGGACCCCTGCCACCCTGTTGGCTTAGATGAAGCACATTTTGTGCACCTGTTGACCAGTGACTCTGGAAGGCTCCGCCTACATCTTCCCCGCATATCTCAGAATGGATGACATGACAGGCATTTCACTGTCTTATAATGGGACACTGAGGGGGTTCTTTTAGTGTCACTGGGCTTGAATCATGCAATCTTCAAGCTTATTCTCCATCCAATAGGATTCCCATTGCTGTCTGTATCCACCAATAGGGCGAGCCTTTCAGCCGCCCCCATTAGGAAAGGGCAACAGTGGCAATGTGGATTCCTACCTCGTTGTCTAATTGTCTGATTTTCCCCATGGAGAAATCAGTGACCCCAAATGACCCAGCTATGTTCCGCTAGTTGACGTTCAGTCC